TTTGTTCTCACCCTCTTTTCACTAGTTAAAAAAAGAATAATATGCATCAAATAAAAAGGAGACATTCATAGCTGCAATGAAAACCGAATCAAACTTGTTTTTACTGGAATTATTCAAATTTAGCCTCCATCTTTTGATAATAACACAAACCGACTCGAACACAAACAAAAAAAAATAACTTCAATAAAGGGAAACATAGAAAATTAGGATAAAGATAAAAGATTGCACAAAACTGGAACTAATAAGACAAAACCGAAAGAAAACTACAAGGAATTGATAAAAAGAAAAGCAAAACTCCAACAGGTTACTGAGCCATTCTGTTGCAGATTTACTGCTCTGTTTGTGATTTATCAATTGAAAAGATGGCCTCAGATTTTGTAAAAACATGGTGTACTGCATGACTCCAAGGTTCCCTGATTCATAGATATCCCCGCCTTTATGCTTTACAGCTGATTTTAAATCGATTATCCACCATGCCTTTCAGTCAAACTTCTGTATTTTGGTGCAGTTCATTTAAATGATTTGTTCCACAGGTCTTTTTGGTCCATTAGGTTAAAATCTGAAAAAAGTGAGACCTGTAGAATCAGATGCTGAGCTCTTGCATTTTCTGAAAGGTTTCCCACAATCACAAGATGCTTTTTCCTGTAAATGAGAGACTGAATAATATACTGCATCTTGTTCCCAGAGGGGGATAGTAATTTACTACATTTACTTTAGTAAAATTTCGAAAAAATATCCTTTTACAAGTAGATTTACTGCAACATATTTTTGACTTATACCTTAGTATTAGAAGTAAAGTTAATATTACTTAAGAAACAAGCACACACACGGTTTCTGTTAAAGTGAGACTTCTTTTTTATAATTGAGCTGCATTGATATACTGTTGTTTTTTTTTCATCTGTTTAACCTGCTTTGCTGTTTGGAGTAAATATACAGTAAACAGTGTAACTGCAGTTACTTTATCCTGTTCTAACATATAAGTATGTTACCCCCTGGTAGCATTGGTTGGAAAAGTTTTCTTTTAAAATAAATTTGTAAAAGTGTTCCTTCCAGCTGAATTTATTATTTTGTGATTATGCTATTTAAATTAGAATAAAAAAAAGTAAAATAGCAGAATTTGCACACAATTTGGATTTTTCTTTTAAATTAAATCAGTTGTTTTGAACAGAAACTCTCGCATTGGTAATTTCTGGACAACTCATTTTCACATTTATGTGTGTAAAATTATATTATAGTGCTACAATGTTTTGACAACCACCTCAGTTAAATTAGTTTTAATCCTTCCCTGTCTTATGTGCAATCCTCCATGCTTGCATTTATCTTTCCAGATATTCTTTCTTTTCACAATATCTTGTACCACAAATTATGAAACCCCTGATTTCTTAAGTTTGTTAATTTGCTTATTATAACTGGCAGTAATTTCCGGAATGGGATGAGGCTGTGATTGAGTCACCGCCTCCAACTGCTTTAACTGCATTAGCCTTATGGTTTCTTTCTTCATGATTGATTTCACAGTTCCTAACGGTAAACATACATGTACACAATCTATGCAAGAAATGACAAATGGTTGCAACTTGTTCAATAATGTTGTTTCAGACAATGCAAGCATAATAAAAGTATTATAAAAGCATCAATAAAAATTTAAAAGACCAACAAAAAAGCTAAAGCGGGGTAGCGAAGATCTGTTTTACATATAGCTGATCTGCAATGTGCTTGATTAACAAAGCTGAAAGAAAGAAACATGTTACTTCCTTAAAATGCACAAAGAGAAAAACCAAAAGCTTGAAACCGATTTTTGACCTCTCGAACCTTTATGCGCATAGCTTTGATGGGACTTTGATAAAATGTTTCACCATCAGCTCTCATCTTAAGACTAAGTGGCTAAATTTTCATTAAGGTCGGCAACCTTTAATTTCATTTTATCATCAATAAAACTTTGATTCACTTTGAGTGGAAAAGAAAAGATCAGAGAAAGTCAAAAACACAGTGTGCTCTCCTGACAACAGCTGACGCAGAAGTGAAAATAAAACCGTCAGCAGTGATGGAAGCACTCGGGAATGCGGCCGGCTCTAGAGCAGATGTTTTTTTCCCCAGGGAAGGTTGGACTTTTTCCTCATGGAGTTTCCCAACTGATAGTGTGTGCCATGACGGGAAAAGCAGAAGAAAAACAGCATAACGTAATGAAATACTCTAAATACAGGAGCAGTTAAAAAGTTAAGTCAGACACAGTGACGTACACTGCTTTTTATCTTAGATATATTCCAATCTATAATTCAAGTACTTTACTTATGGATCTATGCAAACTAATGAAAGGTAAAGTGAATTAAGAAATGTAAGGTATTTACTCCCTTTACTATGAAGGCAAAGTTCCAGTTAAAACCATTTAACTTCAAATGAGAGAACTGACCTTGGAGGGATCGTTACGTTTGCAGAAGTTTTTGCAGTTACCAGGTCTGATTTGTTCATTTACGATTAGCAAATAATACATCCTCAAAGTTAAAGGCATATCCTGTAACTGAAATAGTTCAAACTATCAATCCATTTTATTTCCAGTTTAAAGGCCAACCAAACATAAAAAAATGACATAGAACTTTGGGTGGGTGAATATTTTTGTAAGCTGCAGTAGTTTTGGTCCCTCTTCTGAAAAGATCATGGATATGGTTTCTCAGAAAATAAGACCAATTAAAAAGACAACTTACATCATCTTTTTGTCCAAATACTGCAGTCATTCCTGTGGCCCATTCTCTTTCCTTCCCATCATTATGTCTGGAAACTGTTCACTATGAAGAACCAGCTTGTTTATCAATAAGCCTTTGTAAACCGACAGGAAAAGGGGGGTATGAATGGGGGGAGACATGCGGCAAAGGACCACAGATCAGATTCCGGGTCGGCCGTGTCAAGGACTAAAGCCTCCGTACATGGGTCCTGCGCACTAACCGCTGCTCCACCTGCATGCCCCTTTGTAAACCTACTGTAATTTAATGTAATAATATTGACATTTTATGGCTTTCTTATCAATTGAAAATATTGCTGACTTGAATGTTATCCAGCAGAAAGTGTCCCCAATAGGTTAGGCCAAAAAAGCTCCATTTACAGCATTCCTTTCATTAGAATGTAAAAATATTGATAGAAATTTGTCCAGAAAAACCCTTAATATTAGAAAAAGATGGATAAAATGGCAAATTGAAAATAATTATAAGGTATAAAGAGCTTTTTTCCCCGATAATTTTATGTAATTATACATTTTATGAGGGGAAAAAAAATGTAAAATTGAGGTTTTCATCCAATTTAAAAATTAAATGGAAAGAATGCAAAAAGATTATTTGACCCCAAACCCAAAAATAGAAATCCTGTAATTTAAAAAGATTGTCTAGCCTTTTTTTTTTTAAAATAAAAATATAAAATAATTGAGAGAATTTCATCAAGGTTCCTTTAACATACCAATTTTAAAATTGCTAATGATTTTTACAGATCTTACATATTTTATTTTTGCTTGCGCTTCACTAACCATAAATGTCACCAAAAGGTCACAGCTCACCTTTCTGATCATAAATAGCCCTCCAAAAATTAAAAGGGAACACGGAGGTAACACATCTTAGATCCCAATGAATGAAACATTCCAGCTAAAGAGCTTAATTCATTACAGATTGGAATCCATTGAGAAAAAAATAACTTCATAATGATCAGAAAGGTCTGGGTTTTGGATCATACTTTAAAAAAGGAACATACCAATTAAGGTCAATCAAAGTTCAGTGGAAATGAGGAGTCAAAAAGAAAACATCTGTTCAGAGCATCATTTTTATTCTGAGCAATCAAAATGTTCCTATTAATTCTTTCTTATTTCTTTTACTCTTTTATAAGGTGACCTTGACCGCATTTAAAAGCACAATTTAAAGAAACAACATTAGTAAAACGAGGCTCTGTAGTGTGTGTGACCTGTAGCACCTTCCTAAACTGCCTATTCGCTCCTGATGAAGCAGCAGATGTTCTCCTAAATAATGTCCTCCTTGAACTGAATTACATCATCAGTGAACTCCTGAAAAGGCTGTGATGCAGCATGGCATTAGTTCATGGAACGAGACAAGATGTCCCAGGTGTGCTCAACTGGAAATTAATCTGGGAAACGTATCAGATCAGTCCATAACAACAATGGCTTCATCATGGAGGAACTGCCGACACACCTCTGCCACATGAGGTCTAGCCTTGCATCATCATCTCTATGGTTCATGACAGTTTGCTGCCCATCTCTTGGTGCACTGGCCTGTCTCCTGGTATCTCCTTCATGCTCTGGATGCTGTTGACAGACAGCAAACCTTTTTGCAACAGCTGGCACTGATGTGCCATTTTGCATTACCTGTGAAACGCAGACAACATTATGCAACAGTTGCCAAAACATCAGCCAGAAAAGTTGTCAACAGAAGAAACCACTAATTACCTCTTATTTCCACCTGTAGTCTGTGGTCCATTTGCACAGCAGCAGCAGGTGGAACTAATTTGCCATTAGTTTTATTTCATCAGCTGGACCTGTAGATTATTACAGCCCTGTGACTGATTTGGGGTAAAATAGTACTTTTTATTTGGGTATTTTATGTTTGAGCAGTTTTCTTTAATATCTGGACATACATGGTGGTACAAATAATTTATGCTTGGTTAATCTAGCGCAAATGTTTCAAAACCCAATTACGGTTTTATACATGTCTGCAATCTCCACTTCCCTTTCTGTTCACAAGTTTCACACCTCAATGAAATGCAGAACTAAATGGGTTTAAAAAAGGAGGAACTTTGAAAGGTTGCTCTATATGTTCTAATTTGATTGAACATCAGATTGGGAAGAAACAAAAAAGAACAATAAAGAGAATGACAAATGTGCAAACATTTTAAAGTTGCTCAATATCTAACTCTTAATGTACAGATTTCAGACTTGCACAAACAGCAGCCAGATAAGGCCTAGAGCCAAAAATTACTCGAGGAAAGAAAAACCCGTGATTGCTTCAAGCCAGTGGGTGAGTCCTCTGCAGGTTTAACTTCCTGGATCAGGGAGTATATTAGAGGCCGTGTGTCTCTCTTCCTCACTCACTTCTCAGACTTGTAAACAGTCAGATTCAAAGTGTTGGAGAAAAGAAGACTGGCTAGCGCCTGTAGACCTTCTGCTTCAGGTAAGGCTCAGCGATGGCTCTATAATTTAATAATGGTGTTTTAACAATCATTGGTTTAACAATAATTAAACCATTTTAATATATTAAATCTCAAATAGTGTTTGTTGTTTTCTCATGCATTTAACTATTTGGTCAGATACTGTATGTACAGACCATGACCTAACTCAACTCTTTATAATAATGTCAGTTTGTGAAGTTCTTTTTCTGCACTGATTCCACCATCCTGTAACTGAAGTTTACAAAGAATGAGGGCTGGATCTTAATTCCTATCCTAATTTAATAGAAATGACTTTTAGACTTGCTTAACACTGGTCATGTGGTTTTGACCAGGGGAAACAGGCCACTCTTTCAGATATAAAAAAAAAAAAAAAATCCCAAACCTACTTAGAATATTACACAAAAATATATTCTTAAGAGGCACTTATATTTTTTGTCCATATTCTTTAATTAAACAACGTGTTTCATTTTAGTAAATATGTGAATGCATTACAGCAAATTGTCTGAGAATCTGAGTAATATTGGATTATATCCACCCCTCTTCTCTTGGCAAATTTACAGTATCTTGCAAAGAAATCCAACATTTTTTAATCTATCTAAAAAGGGTACTATTCTTTTGCAGTTAGTCCCTCTACTTCAATACAACTTTGTTTAATTCAATGCAGCTGTCAATGTTTAAAAGTCCATCACTAAAAGGCTTGCATTATGCCATGTTTTTTTTGTTTTGTTTTTTACAAAAACAGAAGTTTTTTTTTGCCATTTTTCCCTCCAAATGTTCACATAAATCCTGTGTGTTTCCCAGAACACATAATGGCTCTGTCCTTGTTGCTGGTTCTCCTGGCGGTTGTTTCTACTACCTTGAGCATGAACCCAGGAGTGACGGTCAGGCTGACCAATAAAGGCCTTCAATATGGTAATTTTTCCAGCTAAGGCTCCTTCTGTGGTAAGACTTCTGGCTTTGTTCTCATGCATTCAAACCTGTGCTTCTTTTTCCAGGTAAACAACTGGGCATGGACGCCCTGCAGGGGCAACTCAAATCTGTCCAGATCCCAGATTTTTCAGGCTCACAAAGAGTGTCTCCCATTGGTAAAGTCAAGTACAGTTTAACAAAGTAAGACACTGTATTAATCATAAAACACTCTAAATTAAGTGAAAAAACTGAAAGGCTAATTTTTCTTAAACCATCTACTCCAGCATACGGTTGGTGAATGTGGGGCTGCCGAAGTCTGCGGTGGATCTGGTGCCAGGGACGGGGGTGAAGTTGACTATCGGAGATGCCTTCATGAATCTGCATGGAAACTGGAGGGTCAAGTACCTCAGAATAATGTGAGTAAATATCCTCTCAAACTGAAATCCTGGCCATTTTCTATCACTGACCGCTGTGTGAATCTCCTCTCACAGTAAGGACAGCGGCTCTTTTGACGTGGGTGTCACTGGACTCTCAATCAGCACAACTGTCGCAGTGAAAAGTGACCAGACGGGTCGACCTGTGGTCAGCAGTACCAACTGTGTAGCCAATGTCGCCAGTGCCAAAGTCAAGTTCCATGGGGGAGCCAGGTAAAAGAAGAAGATCCATGAGGGAACTGGACTTCCACCATGTGCTGCAGAAGCCTAACATCTGTCATGGTTGTGTGTTTCAGCTGGCTTTACAATCTCTTCAGCAAGTTCATAAACAAGGCTCTTCGTAACGCTCTGCAGAAACAGGTGAGGGTAAACCAGTAATCTTACACTTAGTAACTCCCAATTTTAATAGTGATTTTTCTTTTTTTATGTTTCATATCATTTCCTTGTACTTCTCAGTCATCCTCTATTCTGCTTTGGTCCATCACATAAATCCCATTAAAAAGCATTGTAATTTGTGAACATAGTCTATGCCATGTGGTTATTATAATGATTAGTTAACTAATTTGATCAGGATAGGCTGCATTTACACCCAGGCCTTCTTGTTTTTCACCATAGTTTCACCCTTGTTACTAGCGAATGTTTATTTTTATCCTAAAAGTTTAACCCAGATGTTCCCACGTCCTTCTATTCTTAGCAGTAGCTTCCACATTAAATGCATGAGGTCTTTTTTGTCATGATTAGACATCAGTGTGAGGATTTCTGTGAGTAAAAACTAAGCAGTTCATTGGGTGTTACAACAAAGTCTGTGACCCGTCATATATTGTGACTGAAGCTCCTGGAGTCTGCTCCCCAGTCTATGCGTCTACAAACCCTAACTTCAAAGCATTCAGAACTAAACCTAAAGAAGTCTATGATGGAATACATGTAGGTCATAATATATAGAGGGTCACAGATTTTATTGTAACAGGAAACTGAAATGTGAAAAGCCAAACAGCCCACTAGGTTGCCAAAACTTGGATCCTTTTGTATTGCTCAAAAATAATATACCGAACCCATGGTAGTGTGGCAGTGCCTAACCACTATTGGCAATACAAGCAAAGAGATTCTCAATTAAAAGAAAAAGCTCACTGCAAGAGGGTGTCTTTTTTTCATCTTAAAACTTAGAAGTTTTCTCTTTCAGATATGAAATGTTATCAAACTAAGTATTTTATCAAATTGTGCAGTTTCAATGAATAAAAAGGTATCATTAATGTGATTCATCCTGATGAAATAACATGAAATAACAGTGTTAACAAGCTATTATTTCATCCTGATTAAATAATAGCTTGTGATAACATGCTTGGAAATTGCTGTATCCAATATTTCTACCAGGCAAACCTTGTATCTTTTTAAAACGGTTCTTATTTTGGTGACAACTAGAGCAGAAAATCACTCTTCCTCTTCTTTACTGTGCAGATCTGTCCTCTGGTCGATAAAACAGTGGCAGGTTTAAACCCTAAGCTGAAAACGCTCAATGGTAAAGCATCCTTTTTTTCATAACATTTAGTCTTTGTGTCACAGAGGGTTGGTGAGCATCTCTCTGTCTTATTGCAGTGCTGGCCAAGGTGGACAAATATGCAGAGATTGAATACTCCATGGTGTCATCTCCAGCTATTTCACAAGCTACTCTTGATCTGAACATGAAGGTAAAAAAAGCTGGCAATTTAAAACTTGTCTATATGGATTTTATTAGAATCTAACATCACTAGTGCTTTTCTTTTAAAGGGGGAGTTCTACAACATTGGGAAACACCAGGAGGCTCCTTTCACCCCTGCAGCTTATTCCCTCCCATCCGAGAACAACAACATGCTGTACATGGCCCTCTCTGCCTTCACTGCCAACTCTGCAGGTTTCGTCTACAACAAAGCTGGAGTCCTCAGCCTCTATGTCACAGATGACATGGTGAGCAACTACATGCTGTTTTATTGCTTTCAGGGTACCCTATATCCCACTGGAATGACAACATTCCTTTATCCGTTCCAAACAGGTCCCCAAAGGCTCACCCTTCCGACTCAACACAAAAACATTCGGGATCTTCATCCCAGAGGTGAGAGGAACTGCATGGATTTGAGCAACATAAACATCTCTAGCAGTCCCAGTATCATGGATCCGGTTTCTGTTTTCTCAGATTGCAAAGCAGTACCCAGGTTTAATGATGAAGCTGCTGGTGAGGGCAGAGCAAAATCCCACTGTCACTTTCCAGCCCAAAAATGCAACTGTTCAGGCCAACGCCATGGTGACGGCGTATGCCATCCAACCTAACGGGACACTGTCCCCTCTTTTTGTCCTAAACTTGGTATGCCACAGTGTGGATGAGATTGAAATTCACATTTTAGGTTGGGGGAGATTCAATCTTGAACATTTTTGATGCTTTGTTTATAGGAGAGCAGCGTGAGCGCAAACGTGTTTGTCAGAGAACTGAACGTTGCTGGACGTCTCACTCTGAACCAGTAAGTCACTAAAAAATAATGCAGTAATTTCTCCTTCAATTCCTGTGCGGATATTTAATCAGTTCAACCTTGCTCTCTTTGTACAGAATGAAATTGTCCCTGGGAACCAGTTATGTGGGACAGTTTGATGTAAGAGCTTTATCCTCCGAGTCACTGTAAAGACTGCATCACCTCATAATCAAACTAACCATGCTGCTGATTCACAGGTTGGCTCCCTTGACAGTGTGCTCAGAATGGTCCTCAAAGTGGTAGTGATACCCATAGTTAATGGTAAGTTAATCAGGATCCTTTAAAACAATTTAAAATTTTCTAAGGTGAAGGGGAAATTTCTGGAACAGTTTATTTGATACGCTAAAATGTCTCTAAAATCTTTGATCTACAGTGAAATCAAAAAACAAAATGACTGTCTGAGACTAATGCTTACCTGTTTTGCTTTTGGTAGCCTTCACATGCTTATCTTTGTTGGATCAATAGCCTCACACCTATGTTTGCATTTAAAATGTATTAACAAGGGCTCTTAGAAAAGGCTGGAGCTGTGTTTATAAGTATATTATTTATCTAGATGAGTATATTCATTACAAAAAAGTTGAAAAGTAATCCACTGGACTTTGTTTCCAAGTTTAAAGATGTCTTGTTGCCCATCCAAGAAACTTTTTTTTTAATTCAAAATGTCCGAATTAGCGTTGAGTTCGGAGCTTTATATAGTGGCCCAAAAACTTGTTTTGGCTATCATCTCAACCATCATCTCCATGCAGGGGACAAAACACCTTTCTGGAGCATTGACCAGTATCTGGTATTGCAGGCTATCAAAGACCTCAACGACTCCCATTTCCTAAAGGGCGGACCCGTTCTTCTGGGTCAATTTGCATGTTTTCTAAGCTAAAACAAGTGTTTGTTTGTTTTTTGAGGTTACTATATTAAGCTTCGAACTCAACGCTAATTCTGACATTTTGAATTGCAATTTTTTTTTTACTTTTTTGGAATGACTGACCTGGATGACTAAGAATCTTCTACAGCTAAATGAGTATAGCTTAGAATAAATTATGCAGCCTATATTAAACTGCTTTAGCAATTAAAATTAATTCAAAATAATTTCAATTGACAAATTGGTTACATTTTTACTGAATGATAATTTTCCTGTAATATATCCTGCATGTTAGAAGTTCTTTATTTTAAAAATATGTTTCTAAAAATGTTCAATAGCAACCATGCATACATTTTTTGGTGATTTTACTGTTAGTGCCATTGCAAATTTATCTTAATCTGTCAATAGAAAATCTGGCTTCTTTAATCAATATTAAATCAGTATTAGTGCCTTCAAATTTAGTTGGTATAAAGTTCTGTATTGAAACATCAGTGATTAATTTAACCTAAACTGATTCATTTTTATTTACAGTTCAACTTGGAAAGGGTTACCCACTCCCTGCACTCGGGAAGATGAACCTGGTGAACCCCCAGCTTCAAATCATGAAGGTTAGAGACGTGTTTTCTGTTCAGCTGTAGTAGGGATCATATATTTTACATGAAAATGTTTAAAAATTGATTTCTGATAGAAAAAATGTTATGCTTCTCTGTAGGACTACATGCTGATCGGGACCGACGTTCAGTTTACAGGTTGAACTGAAAACACCCCAACATGGAAAGAAAACAGCTGTTATTCCAAAGAGAAATATAAATTTTTTAATATCAGTTCAGATATTTATCATTTTTGTATTTGGTTGTTTTGTTTGTTTTTTTGGCTCCATGTAACTGTGGATGAGGCGCTTGTGTTACTGCTGTTCTCTAATAACAGTCGACTTTCTGCAGGGCAGAGTCCTATTCAGGAAAAATTCTTCCCTTCCAAAGCAGATCACAGCATTATTTTCAGCTGCTGACTTTAGCCAAATCCTATTTCAAATTTCCTGGCTTAGAGGAATGATGCTGTGAATGTGCTGATCTGAACAGTTCTCCTGCAGCCAGGAGAATTGCATTACAAAGTCAGAATAATCAATCAAATGCAACAGGGACAAAAATCAATCAACCACAGTTGAGTGTTATAAAGACACTATTATTTATAAAAACAGCATTTTAGTAACATAAATACAACTGGCTTTGACATTTAAAGACACAAAACTGAGCTTTTAATAGTGCTGCATAGCAGATGGTGTTTCTTAGTTCTGTTTTTGGCGTCGTGTAGCAGAATGTAGCATCGTTTGTTTCCATCACGGCAGTGCATCAGTGTTCTTTCTCAGGGAGCCATGACCAAGGGCCCGGCCCCTCAGGCTCTGGGAGCTGGCTGACAGGATCTACGAAAAAATGACAGACTGATTGTAGCAGAAACCAAGCTAGAGGCTTGTGAGATTATCAAGCAGTAGACATGTGATAAGTGCCAGAATAAAACTATTGTAGATTCAGCAAATGCTACCACTTTTTCTTCTTTTTACTGTAAATTTTAATAAAACAAACTCTAAAATCTCCAGTTCTAGTCAGAGGTCCTGTTAAATATTTAATAATGTCAAAGTTGTGACTAAAAGGAAATATGTAATTTTTGCAGAATCATTTTACTCATGTTTTTGTCAATGATCGATTCCTAATAAAACTTTGCTATCTTAACACGTTGAGATGTCTTATTGTGGGTGAACATGGACTAAACTAAAGTTTAGAAAACAAGCTTAAGAATTTAGGCTAGTTTTACAAGAGCCAAATCGAGACGACTACTTCTAGAGCATCACTACTACTGCAGTTATGGTTGGATGTTGAAGTGGACACTGTCATGAGGGGAAATTTGGTGAACAGGGTCATTGGCAGATGAAGCTTAAAAGAACGAGCATACAGATGTACCTCAAATTACTGGAAAGATTCAAGCTCTTTCTGATAGAGAGATGCTGCTGATGCTCATAGATCTGTTTTAATAGTTGAAACTTCTGGTTGTGGCCTCTTTTGGCAGAATAATGAATAGCGGGGGGAAAAAAACAGTTTGTTACTGTTTGTTTATGACGACAAACTAGTGCTGGATGGAAGTAGCACATATTTTAATCATTAAACATTTGAGATGTACAGGTTGTGAATTGCCTGGTCACTTTCTGAATACCAGCAGAGACCAGCCCTGTGTAAATGCAAGTTTCACAGGAACAGCACAATATTAAAATAGTAAACGAAGAAATGAGACCAAGAGACACAAACAGTAAATTACAGAACAGAGAAAAATATTGCAAGTTACGAAAAGTTGCAAACTGGTGCTGCATGATGGAAGTACTCCAGACCACTAGGGGGAGACAACCAACTCATATGGGACCTTACTAGTGCTGCAACTAAAGATTATTTTGCAATTAATCAATTAATAATCAGAGCAGATTAATGGATAAAAATTTTATTTTGGGTTTTTTCACAAAGTTGGTACAGTTTCTGCTCCAAGTGTGTTGCTCAGTCAGCTAAAGGTGTGTTTTACAGTCTCTACACTCCTGTTTAACAATTAATTGATTACTAAATTAGTTGACGATTATGTCAATAATAGATTAATCACGATTAATCCGATTAACTTGTTTCAGCCCTAGACCTGAACATTTTTAAAGGCATTAATGGATTGCTAAGACGGGTTAAGTATTTACAAAAAAAAAGATCCAAAGGAAAACTTAAAACTTCCCTCAGAGGTTTTCTAGTTATCGTCCAATGTCTGGCTCTGGTCTATAGATATCAGTTTATAGTAACGTCTATGTTCTGGTCCCATTTTATCATCAGCCATAATATAAGCATTGATTTAAAGAAAACAACTGATAAACTATGTATTTGAAGTCATGCACACATGATGGATCTAAAGAAAACTAGGTTAATAGAAAGAGTAGGCATGCAAAACACAGGTTAATACCGAGCAATGGGTTTATTGTTCCATTTAAAGCCTACAACTACAATACTATAGCGCATTGACACAATCCTGCCCAACCCTGCAGAATCGCTCTTCTCTGAGAACGCCCCCGGTAGAATAGGGTTCTTCCTTATCCAGTGGAAACCCGGCGTAATGAAATTGTTAACAAACTGTTGTTAAAGCATGAATTTCATTGATACATTTGTTGGCATTTTCAAATCTCTGATGATTCCAGAGCAGCTATCAGCAGCATTGATGCACTGATTGATGGGAACATGGCAGCTGCCATAACGAGATTAACTAGGGTCACAAGTATCCTGTTAGTTTCACATTGCGGGAAAAATACAGATATTGCAAGATTGGATAGTTATAACAGGCCTGGATGGTTCTGTTTTTTGTGACCACCAAGTCTGAGAAAATAAATAAATAAGATCCCAGTAAAGCAGAAGTATTCTACTGATTTTCACGCTCTATTAAGCAATTTAATAATTCCACAAAGTTCCTCAGCTGACACCAGATCCTAAATGTAAATCCGTCTGTGGAGAGATGGAAGCGGTGCCGGTGAGTTAGTCCAACAGGAATGTTTTCAGAGCTGAGTGACTCAGATTGTGCCAGGTTTGCGTTATCGAGCTGGAGTTGTGGAGTTGTAGGCTGTAAATGAAACAATGACCCATTTGGCCAATACCACCAGCTTCTTATGTACCTACACTTTAATTCCCTTCTTTTCCTTGGATATACCAGGGCAGAAGTTTTCAGTACTAACATTTACAATAGCTGCTAATTAATCATATCATCAGGATTTGTTTTTACATAAAAGTCCAGAAAACATGTGAACCAAAGTCTGTGCATGTAGTATTTTTTCTGGTAAACTGGGCCAGATTGCTTTTCACCGACTGACTTCCTGCCTGAATGACAGACAGTTGCTACTATCAAAGATCAGCATTCCCCGTCAGTCAGAGCGGTTCCATCGGGTGCGTTTCTGAGCCATACCATGCGCTCGATTTTCTGCCTTCAGAACCTTTCCAACCACAGGATGATTCACTTTAGATGAGGAGTTCAAGGAGGGAGAAAAGCTCTGATATCTCAGCATCACCTGAAATCCTTTTTCTTTTTTTTTTATGGTTTTCTACTTTTACCGATACTATATAAAACATATGGACTAACATGAACGTTACATTTACTTTATTCTTAAAAAAAAATAAAGTTTAGACTGTACTGCTGCAATATACTAATCAAATGTATTGGTTCTTCTTTTTTGTAAAATAGAGAAACAGTTGACAGTAAAAACTTAAGAGAAAAAATTAGATTTCTTGGATAACAAATTTTTAGAGCTTCTTATATAGATCTATAAGTTGAGCTACAAAGCTTAAATATTGTCTGGGTAATAAAAAAGCCATGGGGTTCTTCAAAAGGACTGAGACAAACATAAAATCGCACATTAGCAGGTATTGTCCAAGCAAAGTGGTTTAATATCCACATAAAGAAACGGAACAGTAGGCAACAGATTTTTATTCACTACCTTGAATTTCTATGTTGTTCACATCTGCTTTGTTTGCTCTATTCACAAACTGACCAGCAGATGGGTAAATGCAAAGGAAAAAAAAACGTTATGCACAAAAAACATGAAGACATCATAAGGAGAAATTTGAGCTAACATATTTACTCATTTACGTTGGGTTAGCCTATAAAGCCCATTTCAACTGTTTCAGAACAAGCTCCTCACAGGTATAACAATGAAACCCATCCTACCTTCACCAGCACATAGTCTCCAGGGCAGATTGGCGCAGTGATGGATGCAGAGGACTGAACGGCAACATCTTCTTTGGGGAAAATCACTTTCATGTTCCCATCAGTTCTCCCACACAGATCTACGGAAGATCTTTTACTTTCCTTTATAAAAATAGAGAGTGGAGTTAAGCGGCGTTGCCTGGTAACAGGTTAGTGTAACCCTTTACACCATATTAGATCATTTTATTCCTTCATGTCTAAAGGACATAATCAGGTTCACATTTCCCTATGGTTAAAGTCAGCAAACCTGAAGCAGTATTCCACTATCATTTGTAGACAGAAATGATGAACAAAAAGATGAAGAAACCTTATATCTTGGATATAATGGCACAGATTCACTTTTTTAGTTTTTTTTTTAAATGCACCACCTTCTTCGATCTGAACTGCAAGCCTACAAAAGACGTGGCTCTTGCCTAAACTAATGTGCCGGCAAACAAGAGCATTAACCAGAGAAGCAGACAAGAGGAAGATCTACACCTCAGGACGGAGAATCTGATCTGTGTTTTAAAAATCAGATATTATGTTAGAGAGGCTGAACTCACTCCCTCGACCAGCACCAGCTGCGTGCTGCCGACGATGGCAGCGTTGACCTTCGCAGCTTCCTCCCGGAAAACACAGATGCACTCCTCCAGCCTCCGCTGCTTCACCTGTGGCGCCACGTCGTCCTGTAGCCGATGGAAGGCGTGTGTCTTCTGCAAGGGATCAGACACACAAAAAAAGAAAGATAAAAAAGATTAATTACTAGAAAGCAAATGTATGATAGACGACCCTCCGTTGGTGTTATACGAGCTCACCTTCCGCATGCTGTAGGCAAATAGGAAGCCCACATTGTAGCCCACCTCTCTGATTAGGGAGAGAGTTTGCTGGTGGTCTTCTTCGGTTTCGCCACAGAAACCGGAGATGAAGTCGCTGCTGAGACTCACGTCTAAAATGTGAAGATAAAGTCACTGGTCAGTCACTGATTTCATGAAGCAAAAACCCCATAAACTGGGGTTTTCTTTTGTTCTTTTACACATCAACATATGACACTATGGTCCACATTAAGTGCTTTAGTTACTTAAATGTTTAAGAAAACAAACCTCTGCAAGAAATAAAAAAAAATTTATTTTTAAACTTTAATCTCCTCTAAAGGTTCGGCTTACTGTATGTCCAGTTGAAGCTGGATGCTTTTGCATTTAGATGAAGAAAGTGGCAGAACTGTTACCACACTGGGACAATCTGCAGTAAAGATTCCTTTATTCGTTTTGTGCAAGAGAAGAAACGCTGACGTCTCTGCCTTCTCATTGGCGGAGTCAGCGGTAAACAGGCGCACTGATCTATGCAGGATCGGCCTCCTGTGGCGAGCCAACTAAGCGGAAGGTGTCAGAAAAGATTATACAACTAAAACTGCAATGGGAACACTTTCTGCTGCTCCACTGCTGAGTCACATTTATGTTTAAACAGTTTAATGTCATTATGGGAATAACTTCAGATGTATTTGGATCCTTTAAAGATTTTTTGAAGTCCTGCTTCACCAACATTTTTCAGCTAACTGTGGATTTTCTCTTCACTACATGGGCTCATAATACTACAGAAATATATCAATACATCTACAACCTCTACTTGGAACCTGGATGGCTTTTTTATTTAAGGTTTACTTCCTTCATTTAATCATAATGACTCCACCCCCGTGCCTGACCACACTTGGCAGAAAGTGTAAATACCAAGCTGGAAATATACAAGAAGCTTATTAATGGCTACAAAAAGAAATATGGTCAGGATACAGCATGATGTAAGTTGGAATAAAAAATTAAAGCTTAAGTGTGTAATTTTCAGCGACATCTAATGTCCAGACTGCAGATCGCAGCAACATGAACATCTCCCCCCCACCGCTTCTCCCCCCCAACAGTACGGCGAGCGTTACGGGACAAAATGTCTTCCACGACGTCCGCATCACCTACCTTCTCAAGTGATGAGGTTTGTTTACATAGATAATTTTACAGATAGTATTTATTAGTATCTATAGTAATATTTAGTATCTATTGTTCAGTACCGTCTCAGTTCATCTCTCTCAACTTGCCGTAGTTACTTTCGAGCGTAATGGGCGATCTCGCAATCGCTAATTGGTTGGCTCTGCGCTGCCGTAGCGCAAAGATGTCTGCCTCCATGGCTGCGAGACCCGCTCCTATGTAATTATAAATAACGAATTCTAAGGCAACGAAAATATTAAGGTTAAGAGGCTGAGCTCGTAGATGATGATAAATAACATAGTTATGTATAATATATTACATTTCTGACTGTATATCCCTGTAATTATTACACACTGTAGCTTTAAGCATGAGGGTTTAATTGATGCGAGACCATCTCTCGTCAGCAACTTGCCTCTTATCCCAAAATGAAACAACCCTCCTCTGCAGGAGCAGCGGCGTCTCTCTCTCTCTCTGTTTAAAAAGTTTAACAAACAATTCTTCTGTTCTATGTAGGAATGTCCCAATACGATGTCAATATCAGGCAAAAAAAAAAAACTATATCTGATTGTAACGGCCTTCACCTAAGATCTCAGATATGGGCCTGATGATATAAACACAATGCTTCTGTCTAAAGTTTATTTTGGATAATAACAACTAAGTCAGCTGTTCTCATACTTATTGTTATTGACTATTGTTCTCTGAGTAAAATCACTTAATCAATCACCTAATATTCCACACTACAAAATAAGTATTAAAATAATGTATGATTTGTGTTTATATTAAATCGTGCCAATATTGTTCTCAAGGATGCAATAGAAGTATCCAATCAGAAATGTAAAAAAGTTGTATCCAGATGAAACTAAAACGTTTCCATTTGAGGAGTTCTAAGTAGAACATTTTAACAGACAACAAAATTTTTTTCAACTCAAATGCAAAACATTTATATGTTTTTTTTTTTACATATGTGGTACAAATACTGCTCTAAGGGGGCTGCTCTTCCATCTGAAAGCATGCTTTAGAGTCTCTTTACTCTAGTTCATGATTAAACGATTATTTCAATAATCGATTAAAGATGATTAATCCAATTCATTATTTTAGCCCTAATTCATTCAGATTCTTATTATATTAATGATAACATCATGCTTCATAATTTCAACCTCTAATTTATGTACTATATTCACTTGTTCATCTGCTTTTGTAACTCTAAAAGGCGTCAGACACTACTGCATCAGACCTGGGTGTGTACACCATTTTCCTTCCTCTGTCCTTGCAAAGTGTGGGTTTTAATCTCTATTTGTCTATTTCTACCTTGAATTAACTTTAATGGCTTGATCTAGAAAAAGGATCTGCCTGTTATCTTTGCCTGCAGGTTTTCTGATCAGGTCAAATGTCTTTCACTCTGTTGGCTTTTTTTGCGTAGGCGGAGCGATCTTAATGTTGGGGCACATCAACTCTAACCTTTGCATCCCACTCAAACATCCCCTAAACTGTAGAACAGTTGTAGTTATAAAAGTGGATCAGAAAGGCCGAAATTAATACAAAATTCATAATAATTTTATGTAAGGTTCTGTACATAGACTTCTAATGCTATTTCATTAGTGCTGTGCAGTGACGGTTGATAAATCGAAGTGGAACATGATTCTAGATGCTTACCTGGGATGATTCTCTTTATATTGTCCACCAGGTCCAGGTAGGCCTCCCTGGTGTAACTGAATAGGAGAGATAAAGAGTAATTCAAAATGATTCCTTCCCCACTCATTCTGAAAAGACAACAGTGACATCCTACCCGCGCCGCATGGCCTTTAGGACCTGGTTACTCCCACTCTGGGCTGGAAGATGGATTTGCTTACAGATGTTCTGGCGCTCTGCAATCAGCTGCAGAACCTGCAGGAACCCATAAACCAGAACTCAACTCCAGAGATTAAAAAACATCTTAACAGCAGAAACGGCTTTTCTATTATTTTCTTAACTCAAACACTATCATTTGTTTTATAATGGCAGGAAATTATCTGTATAACATGTACATCCAACTCCACCAGTTTACCTTAAGAAAAGGAAAGTGACTAGTGTGGCATACCTCATCAGGAAAATCCTTCGGATGAGGAGAAGTGAACCTGATTCTCATGTCGGGGTCGATGCGCGACACTTGGTCGAGCAGATCGGAAAAGCGCAGACCTCCCTGCTTGGTTCGGTAGACGGTGTCGAAGCCGCGGCTGAGCTTCGTCAGCTCTGGGCCACAGAACTGCTGCTCTGACGTGTCCCTGTAGCTGTTCACATTCTGACCGAGCAAAGTCACCTCCTTCACACCCTGACACACAAACATACACAATACAGATGCAACTGATGGTGACTTTTCCCTGAATGAAGACGATAATATACCTCCAAAAATTAAAGCATAAAACCAATTTCCTACAGCCGTGTTGCGGCTGCATCAGACACTTTTTTCAACTAAAACTCCTTAATAACCTGCTAATATGTAAACTTTCAAAACGAAAAAGCTGAAAAGAAAACAATCAAAAAAAATTTCCAGATTGCAGAGAGAGAATAAACTCTATTTGCATCAAGTTGATAGGAAAGCGAAAGGATCTCTGGAAATTACATCCCTGATTCTTTCACAGCGGTTACAGTCTATAGCATTTATAAAATCACTCCACGACTCAAGAAAATTTGATTTAGATTATCCATAAATAAAGCTAGTGTGAATTAAACTAGAGCATTATACGTCCACAATGAAGCCGCCTCACTAATATGTTTGACCATCTAAACCATTCCAGGCGGGGTGTGGTGAATTTTTTTTTCTTTTGCAACAAGGGGGAAAAAATTATTGTAATTCAACAATAAAATAACATTTACTACTGGCATAACTTTCCGTAAAAGGCCGGTGAAATATTCAGGGTTTCTACATCAGGGCCTGAGTTTAAATATTGTAGCTTGAAGTCGAAATGGCATCACTTCAAGCTGAGCAACTTTCACAAAAAATACTGAAAACATGGGTCGTTCTTTACCTGATCTGAGAGCATCTGTACTTCTTCAAGGATGGATCTGACAGGCCGGCTCCTCTCTCTGCCTCTTGTGAACGGAACGATGCAGTAGCTGCACATATTGTCACAGCCTCGCATGATGGAGCTGTTGGGGAAAAAAAAGAAAGCACAGATAAGAACCGAGCCAGATTGTTAGCTCTGATCAGAAGCGATGCTAGTTGGAGAAACGGCTTACACAAAAGCACTGTAGCCCTGAGCGCCATGCTGAACGGGCATGACGTCTGCATAGGTCTCCTCTAGAGACAGCAGCACGTTGCTCGCCTGTTGACCTCCATCAGCGATAGCTAAAAGTCGAGGAAGGTCCCGGTAAGCATCAGGGCCGGCGAGGACATCCACCAGCTTCTCCCGCTCCAGCAGCTCCATCTTCAGCCTCTCTGCCATGCAGCCTGGACAAACGGTTTACACCTGTTAGAATATTGATGTATCCTCTAACCGTGTCACGAATGTGGACATCGTCTTACCCAAGATGCCTATTTTCATCGGTGACTTGCTTTTGAGTCGTTTCTTCTTCATGGCTGTAAGCTGCTGGAGTCTGTTCCAAATTGTTTGTTCAGCCTTTTCTCTGTAGAACATAATTACTGCTGTTAATCTTACAATTTAGCCATATATATATATATATATATATATATATATATATATATATATATATA